GGCTCCCGGGGGGCGGGAGCAGCGGGACCCTCACGGCCGCCCATCCGTCCCCGCAGCTGGACGACTTCGTGGGCGCGCACCCCGACTACGACGAGGAGGAGGAGGAGCGCAAGTACTTCCGCCGCAAGCGCCTCGGCGTGCTCAAGCCCGTGGTGGCGGCCAGCCTGGGCGGCATGCTGACCTACGGCGTCTACCTGGGTACCGCCCGGCCCCCTCCCTCTCCCGGCTCCTCTAATGGCGGGAGGAAAGGGCAGACTTCCGCCTTAAGACTGGCTCCTTAAGTGTCCTCCCTTGGCCCTGGCAAGTTGCCTGCTTCTCCCCATGCATCCTGTGCGGGGTAGGGGCGGACAGTCTGCCTTGCCCTTGCAGTGCAGTTGGGGCTAGCAGGCCTGGCAGGATGAGCGCCGGGGGAGCTGCAAGGTTGCGCCCACCCTCCATGAGGCGCACACCTGTCCCCATGCATGCTTTGGAGCCAGGGGTGCAGGAACTGGGCTTGTGCCTCTTGGGGTCTTGCCTCTCTGTATGCAGGGCGCAGGGCAGGCAGCTCAACCAGGCCTGTGCGCCCTTCCCCCTCCCCCCCAGGCCTGTTGCAGATGCAGATGATCCTGCACTATGATGAGACTTACCGAGAGGTGAAATACAGCAACATGGGGCTCCAGGACATCGACAGCAAGATGCTGATGGGCATCAATGTCACTCCCATTGTGGCTCTGCTGTACACACCCATCCTCATCAGGTACCCTTCCTGTCCACCTGCAGCCTCTCCTCCCTGCATCACCAGGCCCGTACCTGCACCCAAGCTCCCCATACTGGCCAGTCTCTGCCATCTTGGAGCCAGGCAGGAGATGGCCCCTCCTGGCAGAGAGGCTCCAGATCCTATTCCCCACGCTGGTCTCTGATGCCAGTCACGCCTCCTGCACTGGGGCTAGATTAGAGCTTTTGCCCCTTGGAGGAAAAGGGCCCTACAGCCCATGCCCATGCTCAGAGATTATTATGCCATTAGGGTAAGATAACGCGCCCATCCCTAACGGTCCCTATGGTGCTCGCAGCCAGGGGCTAACCTGCTTCTCTTCATGACCACCCAGGTTCTTTGGCACCAAGTGGACGATGTTCCTGGCCGTGGGAATCTACGCACTCTTCGTCTCCACCAATTACTGGGAGCGCTACTACACACTGGTGCCTTCAGCTGTGGCAATCGGCATAGCCATTGTACCCCTCTGGGCCTCCATGGGCAACTACATCACTCGGTGTGTGGGCAGTTGCAGGGTAGGGGGACACGGGGGTAAGGCCAGCTGGATAGGAATGGTTGTGGGGGTCATGATAGAGGTGGTGGTGGGGGATAGGTGAGGTGTGCCAGGCTGCAATCATTGTGGGGACTATGGGATGTAGGATTGTAGTGGGAGACATTGCCAGGGAAGGGAAGCTGAGAGTTCCCTTGGGAGAAGCTGTGATGGGTAGGAGAGGGTGTTCCTGCAGGGCTGTAGTTGGAAGGTGTTACCAGGGAATAAGGTCTGTAGTGGGTCATTAGGGGTGTTCCCTGGGGAGGTGCACTGTAGAACATGAGTATGCCCTAACAGGGCAGATTTGATTTAAATCTCATAGTGACAAGCCTGAATTGTAATCCTGGAGTTCCAGCTTTTTCCACTTGTACTTCATTTACTTTGCAAAGAAAGGTGCATTCTCACTGGTCGATACAATCATTAGGACATGGAATTTGTGGTTTGGTGGAGGCTACATAGTTAGTTTGGTAAAGATTTCTTCCTCTGGTAGGGTGGGGTGGTGACACTTATACTGGTATACCATTACTTAAGTGCCAGATTCTTGTTAATTTTACAGTTTTGGTTTGTTAGTAAATGATGATTGGGATATTGGTTAGTGACCAGCTAATGTACTTTTTGCTCGTGGTTTGTTTCAAGCAGCTGTCTCAGTCTGGTAACCGGACTTTTTCTGGAATGCACAAAACAACCTGCAACAGTTTTTGTTTTGTTTTGTTTTGTTTTGTTTTGTCTTGTTTTTTAAACACCCCAATTTCCAGTGTCTTAAGTCCATTAGCTTGTCTTACTTAATGAAGACTGCAAGGATTTTTATGGGTGATATCTTTTATGGGGCCAACTACACCATTGCATTCAAGTTAGACAAGCTTTCAAATGCAAGGTATTCTTCATCAGGTCTCCTGATGAGCTGATGAAGAGTGCCTTGCATTCAAAAGCCTATCTAACTTTATCCCAGCCATGCAGTTGATCCAATAAACTTGTCATCCACAGAAATTCTTGCCTCATGCATAATTCTTGGCCAACAAGAGTTCAATATCACTCCAACACTAATCAAGATTCACATTTACAAGGCAGTGATTCATTGAACAAGATCAGTGCAACATCAAATAGCTACAAACTGGCTACAGATAAGTTTTTAGAGTGGCAATGGGAAGAGAACTAAGTCTCAGAGGAATGATATTTTAAAAAGATCTTTCTACCAAAGCAGTATGGTAAAGAATCTGCATGTCTTTCAGATGAATGGGGTGAGTCTCTGGAAGGGATGGTATGAGAAAACAGAGTCCTGTCTTGCTGATGTGTGTGATTTATGTAGTTATAGGATTGTGGTACAGGCAGTCCTTCAATTTATGACACAATTGGTTTCTGAAAACCGTGTCTTAAGTTGAAACGTTGTAACTCGGAACCGATTTTCCCATAGGAAGCAATGTTCTACATGGGGGATTGGTTCCTGAACCAAGGCCCAATACCTTATTTTCACCAAAAATAACCCAGAATTTTGTACTTAATGTAGCTATATTACTCATCTATAATTGATTAATGTAGCTATATGTGTAAATAGCCATCATATAGATTTGGAAGGACTTCTTTGAGGTGACTTTAGACTTTTTGAAGGGTTCTTGGTTGGAGTCTCTTCAGGACTCTTAGCTGCAGGTTATTCTGGAGACTTGTCTGCTTTCTTAAAGAAAGTGTCCAAGGAAGTTTGGACAGATGTTCTCCAGGGAGATGGGCTATGCAGTGAACTTGTTCACTGGCGTGGCCTCACATGGGATTAAGCATTGTAAAATCGAAGCATGTCAAACTTGAAACAGGGTGAAATGTTGTAACTCGAAACCTTGTAAATCAAAGACTGCCTGTACCCAGGTTGTCATACAAAGGTAACTATAATGGACAAGGCATCTGATAATCCCAGGCCTCGGGGCTTAACTGTTCACCAGTTGAAGCCAGGAAGAAATTTTTCTCCTTAGCAAATGTTACTGGCTAGGGAAGGGAGGAATCCACTTTCCCCTGAGGCACTGGGACATTGACCACAGCTAAGGGTGGGAGACACTGATGTTCCTGCCAGTATTAGATACCCAGACATTCCAAACTGGAGAGTTTTGCTCTTCTGCTCAGGCTCACACCAGTCACCAAATTTTGGGTCAGGAAGGAATTTTCCCACAGGTCACAGCCTAGCACATACTAAGAGGGTTTTGCCTTCCTCTGTACCTTGGGGTATGAGCCTCTTCCTTGGATCTTCTGAGCATTAACCAACTATTTCCCTGTTGCAAAGCATTGGCAGTGCCTTCTCCCCTGCTTTTATCTCTGGCAGGTTACAAGGTGCTCTTGGTTTGTGAGTTATTGTTCTTTGGAGTCATGGGATGAGGGTCTGAAGTAGCAATTTTGGGGATTCCTTCAATGAATGCCTGTGGATACAGGGGACTGGATGCAATGGCCCAGGAGGCCCCTTGTAGTCTGATGTTCCTATGAACATGGGGATTAACTTGCCAGTGGCATCAATCAACTATTCCATGTTAGTATGGGAAAATATTCAAGTAGGCCTAAGTGAAAGTGACTGGAACTTAACCTCGTGCCTGCCTAACTCTCTTGAAAATGAGATGGTTGCCTGAGATGGTCTTTGGCTGCCCTTTAGACTTCCAAAGCTAGTAGATTTTGCCTCCTTGCTTTTAGTTTATTCTGAGCCATGGATTTGGCCTATTTATAATTTTATTTAAATATTTTAGGAGACTATAATTTTTAAACCTTAATGCATCTTGTCTTCAAGTCTCAGATTTCATTTTAATTGGGTTTGGAAGTGTTGGAGTGATGTAGCTGTGATGGTCCAGGAAATGTGCAAGAGGCAAATATTTTTGTGGGTGATATTTCTTTGGATAGCCAAAAATAATCTTTTTTATCTCTAAGGGAAAAATCCTTGCTTCTCGCATGTTCATTTTTTTTTTTCTTTAAAAAAAGAAAAAAGACCTTTCAGTTTAAACAACAAAACAAAAAGTGTGATTTTTAAGTGAAATAACTGTTTGAAAACCATTTTTGTCTCCACCCTGTTTCCTGGGAGTCCTTATGTAGCAGGAAGAGTGGTGTAGCATGGGAGTGTTCCTTGGAAGAGGAAGCTGGTTAGGAAGCTGGGGGTGTTCCTGGAGAGCTGTAGTGAGGGCATGGGGATGTTTCTGGAGGGTGGGAGCTGTAGTGTGGGGGTGTCCCTGGGAGACTGTAAGAGGGGGAAGGAAGAGTGGGGCACCAGAGGGCATGTACGCTCTCAACACTGTGTGGGATCCAGGATGAGTGCCTCTGGGAGCCCTAGCTTTGCTGATATTGCTCTGGGCATCACCTCTGGCAGGATGGCACAGAAGTACTACGAATATGTGAATTACAAGGAGGAACATGTGCAGGAGCAGCACCGGGCACCACGTGGAGCCTACAATTCCTATATCATTGTCTTCCAGACCATCTTCTATGGCTGCTTTCATGTGAGCTATCTGTAGGCAGGGTGGGACTTGGGTAGAGTTGGGTGCAGGACTGGGTAAGGGTTATGGCTGCAGTTTGCAGAGAAGTGGGAACTCTGGCCACCCCAAGTGTAACCAACACAGCAAACTGTCATGGGAATGCCTGGGGACCCCTGCATTCCTGGTGGGATGGTGAGTGCTGTGGACTGTGTGACAGCCTGGGCCCTCCTGTGCTGAAGTGTGGAGGATGCCTGGCTATTCCACAGCGCCAGGAACTCCTGGGCCAGCACAGCGCAGTGGGGCAAGATGAGCGTGCAGGTCCTGATGGCCCCAACTCTCCACTTGTGTGTTGTAGCTGAGCTTTGTCTGCGCCCAGATGCCCATGGTCTTCTTCCTGAACAAATTTCTGTATGAGCTGAACCACACACTCTCCAATGTCCAGAGCTGTGGTGAGTGTTCAGGCAGATGGCAGTGCCCAGCCAGTGCACACTGGCTCCCTGCCACCATACTGCTGCTGCCCTGCCCTCCACCCCACCCCCCAGCCTCCTGCTGTTAGCCCTCATGCCCCATTCCCTCTTCTCTGTGCACCCCTGCCCACCTGTTGTCTCTACCATTTGCCCCACCTCATTTCTGTTGCCAGTACAAACACCTTGGCAGCCCTCCTGCCCCATCCTGGGTCCCAGACTTTGGCTCACTCCCTCCTGTAGCTGGGGCTCTCAGCTGCTCCTGCTTGGCTCCCAGAGTGCCCCTACAGGTGGGCTGGTCCTTGACACTGCCTCATTCCCCTAGGCACCTTGAGCAAAGGGATGCTTCCAGGTTTCAACACCACTGTGCTGCAAGGCCTGCCACGCAGCATCAACCTCATTGTGGTGGAGAGTGTCCTCATGGCTGTGGCTTTCCTCTCCATGCTTATGGTACGGATGGGGGGGTGGGTGGGGCCTTCCCTTTCCACCCTCATGGCACAGACTAGAGGTTGGGCACCCCTGGGGAAGAAGTGGTACCACTCCCTCTTATATCGCATCCTGCCTCATAGTGCAGTGGGTTAGAAATGCTGTGGCAGCACTGACAGTAGCCAGTGATTTTTGGTGGGAGGTGGGTCCCTCAGTTCTGCTTGACCTAGTGCTTCCCCCACCCTAGACTCACTTGATTTGACTGATTCCACCCAGCTGCCCTGCTTGATGACCTTGGCGTTGCCCACTTCTCTGCCTGGACATGTCCTGGCCTGCTACCTGCACCTTGCCAGGATGGCATCCCAGGTCCATCCAGCACTACCCAAGTCAGCACTACCCACGCCACAGCCTTGTTGTCTCCTTCCCATCATATCCCTTAGAGGCCAAACAGCAGGTCTGCCTCAGTCAGGCTTCCTCCCTGCCCCAACAAGTGGGGGAAGAGCTGGCAGATTTTCCCCCTCCTTCCAGCTCACCACTCCCTGTGTTCGCCGCTTCCACCAACAGGTGCTGATCCTGTGTGGCTCAGCCTACCGCCCCACAGAGGAGATTGACCTGCGCAGCATTGGCTGGGGTAACATCTTCCAGCTGCCCTTCAAACACATGCGGGACTACCGCCTGCGCCACCTCTTCCCTTTCTTCATTTATAGTGGCTTTGAAGTGCTTTTTGTCTGCACCGGCTTTTCCCTGGTATGATTGGGCACCTCCCCAGTGCCTGCAGGGTGTGGATTGGGACTGTGTCAGGGAGGGCTGGGCAGGGCAGGGCTTTTGGGGGTAGGGCACAGCAAAGAAATGGGAGAGTGCACCCTGACAGGGGCTAAGCATACAGCTGGAGGGGTAGGGTCACCATGTGTGTGTTGAAGGGTTCTAGGTGGACCTGACTGTATCACATTGTGCTAACAGTTATTTCCCTCTCTCCCATGCTCTGGCAATCCCCTCCTAGAATTACGGTGTCTGTGCCATTGGGCTGGAGAACCTGGCTTACATTCTCATGGCATACGGCTTCTCAGCCTCGGCCTGCTCCAGCCTGGCACTCTCCATGCTGCGCCTGCCGCGCCACACCGTGCTCCTGGCTGGAGCCATTGTCCATGCCATCCTGTTGATAGGCCTGTTTTGTTGGGCGCCTATGCCCCGGCACCTGGCTGAAGCACCCCTGCTCTACATTGTGGCTGTCCTCTGGGGGCTTGGCAGTGCCCTGAACAAGACCGGCCTCAGCAGTGAGTAGGGAATGGCTGGGCTCAGGCGGGATCCCCAGGATAGGCTAGACTCTCCCTCCCCTCTTACAGCTCCCATCACTGCCATATTACATATGCCAGCCTACCCCCATCAAGGCAGCACCCCAGCTGTGCCTGTGCTCCCCTAGCACACTCCAGACCCTCCATTGAACCCCTCCTCCCATTGCAGAGGGAGTGCCCCCCCAACCACATACTGAACCCCAGCTCCTACCACAGATGTTTCTCTGCCCTGCTTGACAAGCCTAACCAACTGGGCCCAGTTCCACACCTCCAGGAGTCCATGGGACTTGGTGGGGTCAGCACTGTTGGCATTTCAGCCGCATCCCAGCTGGGAGCAGTCCCAATTCCAGCCCCAGAAGGGCCTGCTGGCACGGTGGGGTGGGATTGGAGCAAATCCAGAAGGATCCCGCCTCTGTGAAGAGAGCCAGCCAGCCCAGTGCCAGAGCAGGAAGCTCCCAGCCCTGTGATGGGCCGGGAAGGAGGCTCTGGCTAATGTTGTCTGTCCATCCACAGTTCTCCTAGGGATGCTGTATGAGGACAAAGAGCGACAGGACTTCATCTTCACCATCTACCACTGGTGGCAGGCATTGGCCATCTTCGTTGTGTACTTGTGGGCAGGGCTCCCTATGAAGGTGATCAGGGCAGAAAAGCAATTTCCAGCTGGCAGGGGCTGTTGGATAGGCTAGAGGACAGCAAAACAGTGTTTGGGGCACAGGGCCTCTAGTCTGTCCAACAGGGAGTGGGCATGGGGGTGGGGAGTTTAGGATTGCTACAACCCAGGGTTCCTAGGAGGTGGGGTGGGATCCTGAGGGGACAGGATGGAGGGTACTGATGTCTGGGGTGGGAGAAAGTGCTACCACAAAACTAAAGTTGCAGCTGCCTTTGGGGCTGGGTCAGACAGGTCTATGCTGGGCCCAGCTCCAGCCTTTCTAGGACTCAGAGCAAGCTGCAGTCCAACTGAGCTGAGCAGCCTAGCTAGCTGGTGGGGTGGCCAGGCCCCACCCTGCCCTCACTCAGTAGTACTCTCTGCTCACCTAGGCCAAGCTGTCCATCATGCTGCTGACTCTTCTGGTGTCAGTGCTGTCCTATGGCTGGATGGAGCACAAGGTTGCATGCCACATCCAGCACCGTATGCCAAAGATCCCCAAGCCACGTCACAAGGTGCGAGGCTACCGCTACTTGGAAGCTGAGAACTCAGATGAGACAGGCTCTGAGAGCGAGCGGGAACACGAGAGTGATGGTGAAGGCTCCCAGGAGCAGCCCTGTGGCCCACAGCACCACCAGGACTGTGCCTACAAACAGGCTGTTGGGGAGGAAGATGAGGATCGCTTAGGGTAGGAGCTGCCCTAACCCTAGGCTCTGCTGCTTCTTCACCCCTGGCTCTATACATGGAGAAGGGCCTGGTGCTAGATGGCCACACAGCCCTCTGCCCTGCTGGCCATGGGAGCACCCTTACTATGGTCAGACCATGCTGAGGGCCCCTGAGGCACTTCCAGACTGATCAGAGGGAGTAGTCATAACCAGGAGCCCAGAGTTGCCATTAGCTCAGCCCCATAGCTCTCCTTGCCCTGGGTCATGGTAATGCCAGCAGCTGGACCTGGCTTTCACAGGCCCACATCAGATTTTGCCTGGACTCTGAGCTGCTCACAGCAGTCTCAGTGTGCCAAGGGGGGACCCTGGGCAGTGGGCATACAGAAGAGGAAGCCTATCTGCTTCTGCCCTGGCTGGTGTACAACGGGGTTGGGGTTTGGTACTACATATGTGGTTCTGTGTGTGGCTATACTAAGGGTTCCCCCACGTCGAACAGTATGACTGGCCCTAAGAAACCATCCCTGGTGCCTTATCAGTGCCAGTTCAAATGATGCCAGTTCTCACAGCCTGCTGCTCCCCATTTCTGGCAGGACAAGGCTCAGACAAAGGGCCTGGAAAGCACTGTCTGCTGGTGTCAGGCCCCAAGACCCTGCAGCTGAGCCATGCCCTCTGGAAGAGCACCAGAGGCCTGGCTGCCATCTTTACTGGGGTGTCCCAAGCTGGGCACTAGTTTTCCACTGCCCCATCTCTCAGCAGAGGAGCTAGGATTTCTCCTGCTGGAAACCTCATCCTGCTCCAGGGAGCAGGGAAGTACTTCAGCCTATAGGCCAGGGGTGGGCAAAATGCGGCCCGTGGGCCAGATGCAGCCTGCCAAGCCATTCTATCTGGCCTGCAGAGCCCCTAAAAATTTAGAAAATTAATATTAATCTGCCCTGGGCTGCCTGTCATGTGGCCCTCAATGGCTTGCCAAAACTCAGTAAGTGGCCCTCTGCCCAAAATAATTACCCACCCCTGCTGTAGGCTGAGGCCCTGGTGCCAGGAAAGGGTAGATGAGAAGTCTGCCTACCCCCTGAACTTAGTTGCATCCTACTTCACACTGTAAAGGCACTTCCCTCCCCCAATAAAGTTCTGATTCAGAGTTGCTGGCGCTGCGTGCATGCATCAGGTCATTCGGACACTATCAGCTGAAGACCACACTTACTTCCACAGACTGGCCTGGGCATGTGGGAAATTTAGCAGAGAAACCAGGCCCTGGATTTGCACCTAGCTTCCTAGGGGGAGTATGCAGACCCCATAGCCCAGCCCCAACCTCTCTCGTGATGTGCATCAGCAAGGGAGGGTAATGGCATTCCATCCAAAATGTGTGAAATGGAACGTGCTCTCTTGGCCACCATTGTGAGGGGCAGGTTACTGCCACATCCTTCAAACGCTGACTCAACCCTGATTCTCAGGCCCTGGTGGCCCCAGGAATGTGGGTGTACAGCAGTGTTCTTGTGCTAGAAGTGGGAAAGCTTCTCCTACTTTGGGACCTCAGGACTCACCACCATTTTGTTTTGAGCAATCTCCTGAGACACATGCTCTTCTCCAAGCTGTGCCTCCCCTACCACCTAGCTTTAGGGACAGTGACTTTGCTGGGATGTGGGCAAATTGCAGGTGCAGCCCTACATCTGACAAACTGCCTAAAGCCTAATCTTGAGCCAAAGCCCACTAAGTGGCAGGGAGATGACCACAGTTCATTCAGGGAGAGACCACAGTTGGAGTACTGCGTGCAATTCTGGGTGCCGCACTTCAGGAGGGATGCGGATAACCTGGAGAGAGTCCAGAGAAGGGCCACTCGTATGGTTAAGGGCTTGCAGACCAAGCCCTACGAGGAGAGACTAGAGAAACTGGACCTCTTCAGCCTCCGCAAGAGAAGGTTGAGAGGCGACCTTGTGGCTGCCTATAAGTTCATCACGGGGACACAGAAGGGAATTGGTGAGTATTTATTCACCGAGGCGCCCCTGGGGGTTACAAGAAATAATGGCTACAAGCTAGCAGAGAGCAGATTTAGATTGGACATTAGAAAGAACTTCTTCACAGTTAGAGTGGCCCAGGTCTGGAACGGGCTCCCAAGGGAGGTGGAGCTCTCCCCTACCCTGGGGGTCTTCAAGAGGAGGGTAGATGAGTATCTAGCGGGGGTCATCTAGACCCAGCTCTCTTTCCTGTTTATGCAGGGGGTCGGACTAGATGATCTATTGAGGTCCCTTCCGACCCTAACATCTATGAATCTACCTTGCCAGCTGCAGCCCTCCCTGACAGCAGCCAGGTGTTGCCAGCCTTGGTCATTTTTAAGGGACCTAGGCCAAACTGCAGAAATGTGGCTTATGCAGAAGGCCTGCGAGGCCTGTTTCTGAGTGATCAGAGAGTGAAATTGCAGGCATGACAACCAGCTTGGTCAAAATAAAGGAAGTAATTGGCACATCCAGCTGAACAGTAGTGAGATCAAGTTAAAAGACCTTAAATTAGATGATCCAAATATACTATATCATAGCTTTATCTTAAAAATAGTAGTAGTAGTAGTAAACTGGTAGTTGGTGTTCAATGTTAGTGTAGTATTTCACCTCACACACGTTTAAAGCAGGGGTTGGCAACCCCAGCACGCATGCCGAGCATGGCAGGCGAGGCCATTTTGCTTGGCATGCTACCACCAGCCCCAGCTCTGGGTAGCTTCTACCAACCATAAAGCCCAGGCTACTCCCAGCAGGCAGCTGGGAAGCTGCAAGCCCTGCTGCAAGCAGCCCAAGCTCCGTGATTGGCAGCAGCTACCCAGAGCTGGGGCTGGCTGCAGCAGGCAGGCTGCAAACAGCTGTGCCAGGCTCTGGCATCAGCTCTGTACCGGTACATGCACATGCACCTTGGAGCAGGTGATGGGTGTCACAACCCAGTGATTTTTTGTGCCTCAGCACTATGGAATTTCCTGGCCACATGAGAGCTCCTTTGCACGGCAGAGTGTTCTGCTGCAATTAAGAGCCTGCGTGCAGGAGAGTTCCCGCCAATTTGCAGTTTCCTTTGCAGGATGCATTTCTTCTTTGCAGCACAGAAATGCACGGTGCAAAGAGTTCCCGCTATTCGGATGCAAATTTGTGCCCCGCTATTGGCCAGCGCTAAATTATTCACACGTGGCGGCTAGTAATTGGCTCGCTGGCCGTTTAAAATTCCGCGCGACTTCCGCCCGGAAGTAATTGGCACGCTGCAGAGTGCCTCTGAAGTTATCTGACTTGCGGCTGCCGATCGATAGACTGATCACCTATCGATCTTTCTTCCCGTCGCCGAGCGCAACCCCAGACGTACCCCTTTCCCCGCCGGCTTCGAATTGCGGACGGATTAACTGGCTTGGGCCCCGCCAGCTGGAGCAACTCGTGTGGTTGTTCCGACAACCGGACCACCTGCGTCGTGATTGCAAGCAGCGTGAGTAAAGTTTTTTGCAACCAATAAGTTGTGTCTGCCTCTCCATTCACCAGCCCGCCCTGACGTACGAGCGTAACTCGAGTCGGCCCTGGCCGTCCGAGACAATGGGGAGGGGCCTGAGGCAGCGCAACCCCAGTTTCTCCCTAGCTGCTGGCACAGAGCTGATGGTGGGGCTCCGGAGCCCAGAGCAGCTGTTTGTAGCCAGCCTGGGCTCTGGGCAGCTGCAGCAAGCAGGGGGCAGGCTGCAAACAGTTCCGCCAGGCTCCACAGCTCCAGCATCAGCTCCAAGCTGGCAGTGATTGTGCACACACCTCGGCTTAAAGCAAAGACTAAAGTGCAGAAAGTTTTCTGAGTTTTTGGTTGTAGCCGTGTTGGTCTAAGGACTTAGGCAGGCAAGGTTCTTTGAGTAGATGTGGTATCTCTTATTTTTTTCAACTACTCAGTTGGTCTAATTTCCTGGCAAGCTTTCATGCGCAGTCACTCTTCTTTAGGCATGGGGAGTCTCTGCTGTTCTGAGACTCCAAGATATCCATCCTGCCACACTTTTAGCTTCTTTCATGTCAGTGAGAATGTAAATACAGGACACCCTCGCTATTTGCGGGTTCGGCATTCGCAGTTTCAAATATTCACGAATGCCGAACCCACATTTTAAATACACTTTATACACTTACAGGAGCTCCTCGGGAGCACATTGCTTGCTGCCGCTGGGCTCCCATCACCACTGCTGTGCCCCCCCACCAGCCAGCAGGGGCACTGTGTTCATGAACACAGTGCCTTATTCGCAGATTTTGCCATTCACGAGGGATATGAGAGCGTATCCCCCGTGAATGGTGAGGTTGCCTGTAGGTAGAATTAGAAAGACAAAAGGTGAGGCAGAGAGGTGAAGCAGAGGGAGGGAAGAGAGCAGGGGAAAAAAAGGCTGAAGGGAGACAGGACAGTGATAGAGTACAAGGTAGAAAAGAGGCTGTCAGGCAGGTACCTGGTGAATCAGATGCCAGGCAGGTTGTAATGTGTCATGAAACCAATGTCTGTAATGAAACCATGATTTTTAGTATCCAGTAGAAAGTTTTCTGATGTGTAAGCTGCTGTTTGCTGGTGACCCTGCACTGAGAGTCCACACAGAGTGCCCTTCAGAGCCTCATCAGTTGCATCACTTGTGCCGGCCAAGAGTTTGGTCTTATAATCAGCATCAAGAAGACCAGTGTTATAAGCCGGAACACTGACTCACCACCACAGTCGCAATAGGTGAAAACATACTGTATGTTGTAAGTAAATGTATGTACCTTGGTTCCATTGTTACTGACAACCTGATACTTGAGGCTGAACTGAATACCTGTATTGGCAAAGCGTCAGTTAGTATAAGCATGCTGATCAAATCAGTGTGGAACACCCGCAAACTGAATGTTAAGACCAAGGTCAAAGTATATCATGCTTGCAATATCAACACCCTTCTGTATGGTGGCAAATCCTGGACCACATGATCTACTCAAGATAAGTGCTTCAACAGCTTCCACTTACGCTACTGCCTTTGCCGCATTTGAGAAATTTCCTGGCAGGACCAAGTTGCCTGCAGGGAGGTCTGAGAACTTGCCAACATTCTGAGCATCCATCCTCTCCTCAGCATCAACTTTGAAGCCCTGGTCATACATGAAGAATGGATGATGGCCATATACCCAAGAATCTCCTGTCTAGAGAACTTACAGGACAAAGACCATGTGGGCATCCTTATATCTGGTTCAAATATGCTTTCAAGAAAGCTATGAAGGCACTGAACATCAAGCCAGATAACTAGAGAAGACTGCTGAGGATCAAAGCACCTGGAAACAATCTATTAAGCATGAAATGAAGGCTTTTAAGAAAAGAAGAGCCCAACATGCAGAGGAGAAAAGAAACCTCAGAAAGAACCCCATACCGCATTCAGAATTGTTAATATGAACATCACATGTGGAGAAGGGACTGTCATTCAAGAACGGCTCTACAGCTACGCCCACAGACGTTAAGCAAGCTGATGCCTCACTTGGCGCAATTGTGTTGTCTTGCGAGACGGATGGCTAGTAGTTATTGACATAACCAAATTAGATGTTGGTTTGCAATAATGTATTTTTGGAAAGTTTTTTTAGATAAGTTGTAAAAACAAAGCAACCTTGTCAATGAAGACCATAAACTAAGGTGAAGAGAAAACAAGACAGTAACAAGCAGCATTCCAAGGACATAAATCCCAACTAATTGACACCTTAGTTCATGAGCGAATTGTTCAATTCAATCCCAAGAGTTTCATTGAAACAAAGAAGTGTAAATAAAGCTAATCAGAGTATATTTATTAGAATAAGCTATCTATAAATACAGAGTATAGGCTGGATGGAAATTTGGAGAATTCAGCAAATTCAAGATGACCTGTTACCAGTCAGCATGCCTTTCCTCCCTTAAGTCTCTCCAGCTGTTACAGGTAAGAATCTATGTTGTACTGTTATGGGTAGCCAGATACATTTTCAGAGATATGTACTTGCATTTGTATTTTTGGGGTGTAAGCTACAAAAGATCAAGCTGTAGATCTCTCTTGCCGCTTATCAGTAGCTAAACAGCCAGGTTACTTGTAATCCAGGTAACAAAGGGAATCTGTAGGTTCCCATCTTGGTGAGCAGGATACAGACTGGACTCACTTTTCTGCTCCAAATCAGAGAAGGAGGCTGGCCTGGATGGGGCCTAGTAGCAATAGCTCCATAGGTCTGTATATGATCTTGCTGCCCCAGTGGGAAATGGGCATCTAGGCACAGGGAGACAAAGGTAGCTGGACATGAGGCCACAGAAAGCATTGAACCTCCACCATGTTGTCCATGGCCCAGGAGCCTGCCCTCACCACCAGGCAGCAGCTGCTGTAGGGGAGCATGGGCTTCATTGTTCTCATTTTACACAGCCAGAAGACCTGGACTTGGGTACCACTTTCCAGGAAGAATCCAGAGCTGAGCTTCCATGCAGACGCTAGCAGAAAGAAGCATGGGCCTTGGCTAGGCTGGCTGTTCAGGTATATGCACGCTGGAGTCCATTTGGGGATGACAAGCCACTTCCAGGAGCTGGGAGGTTCTGACTCTGGGCACATACCATAGGGGCACCTAGCTCTGGGGTGTGCAGTCCATCAGAAGCAGGAATTATGCCTCGTAGCACCCAGGAACGCTGATGATGACCCCTAATAACTTGGGAAGCGGGGCCTAAGTGACTTGCCTGGGCATCCTGTACAGATGCTCAGGTGTAGAGAAGGGAACTGAGCTAGGCTAATGCTAGGTCCAAGACCACAAGGCTGGCTGCTTCCTGCTGTGAAAGGGCCAGCACCACCCCCTGGGGTTTGGCAGGGAT